CTAGTTTGGGGCGGGGGGAGAGGTTGCATGTCCATGTTTAGAACGCTAGTATTTTCATTGCTATTCCTGTGCTAAAGAAATATCAAACAGTCAAAGAAAGAGGTTCAAGAGCAAAACAAAATTGTCTGGCTTTTGCCAGTTTACCTAAATATATATAGACCATTGTGTGTAATAACTTCAAATTTTTTGCTAAATTGATGATGCCACTTGCTATTTGGCTAGAACTCTTAATACAGTCAAGGTATGCAGTGTTCAACTCAAGTAAGTAAGGGAGACAAGAAGCCCCTAAAAATCCTATTTTTGTCCGAATACTTTCAACCTTCTGTTTTTCCAAGTAAGATCTGGTATTCATGATAGCTGGTAGAAGTTAGCTAAGAAAACATTCTGGTGCTTCCGCCTGTTATATGAACTGATAACATCTTTTTATCAGTATCACTATCCTTTCCTTTGTTAGCTAAGATTCAATCTGCATAATTGCAGGAATATGCCTGGGAAAATCTGATTGCAGTATCTGGGCTTTAGGTTTCTCTCTTTCTGGAAAAAAGATAGTAGAAAAAAACCCATGTATATACATTTTCTTAAAGCAGTATTTTTTTTTCAAAAATTCAGTAAATATATGTACACCATTGAAAGGGCGCTATGTCACAGCCCAAATTTTTTTAAAACTTTTTCAAAGCATTAAGTTGAATAGTATCTTTGCCATACAGTGGACTGAAATCAGAAGTATTGTATTTCATGGTATAGGTTGATGCAGTATATAAATCAACTCCATTTTTTTTATTAAAGTTAGGAATTTTGTAGATCTGGTATATAAGTTTACTTAACTGTTTGGATCAGAAAGAAGGGGTTGACTTGTAACGGTCTGTGCATGCCCTCACTGTGGGCTGGGCACCTGGGAGGTGGACATGTGCCACATGGCCACTTGCAGAGGATGGGTCTGGGCTTGGCTGGTGTGGCCCTATCCACTGTGAGTAGTGCTGTCTGGGCTGCGCCAGCCAAGCACTGAGTCTGGCACTGCTCGCAGGGTATGGGGCCATGCCAGCTGAGTGCCGAGCCTAGCCCTGTCTGCTGTGAGCAGTGCTGGGCTTGACGCTCAGCTGGTGTGGCCCAGAGGATGGGGGCGTGCCAGCTGAGCACCAAGCCTGGCGCTGCTTACAGGGAACAGGGATGGGTCTGGGGTTGGTGCTCGGCTCCCGTGCCCCCATCCCCTGCAAGTGGCACTGCCTGGGCCATTCTAGCTGAGCGCCGAGCCTGACCCCATCAACTGAGAGTGGTACTGCTGAGTGCTGAGCTCAGAACTGGGCTTGGCACTCACCAGGCACAGCCAGGCTCAGTACTTGGCAGTGCCACTCACAGCAGATAGGACCAGGCTTGACACCCAGATGGCACAGCCCCATCCCCTGTGAGTGGTACTGGGCTCACTGCTTGGCTGGTGCAGACCAGGCAGCACTGTTTGCAGGGGATGAGGACACTCCAGTGAAGTGCCAAGTCTGTTCCTGTCCCCTTTGAGTGGCACCAGGCTCAGCATTCACAGGGGACGGTGTTGAGTTTGAATTTTAAGAGTTAAAAATTGGGCTTCAAACTTTTTTGGTTACAAATTGGTTAAAAACTTTTGCAAATTGAATATTAACAAGCCGTTAATGACCAAGATGAAGACCCTGCCTCCAAAGAGCTGCCCTGCTTCCTTTTATTCTACAGAAGCAACATTTGGCAGTACCTAGTTCAGCAAAAGAGAACTGTTGGGAGCTTCTAGAAAAATGGTTCTATGAAGGATTTGTTGATTTGTCTAAATTTGAAGATAAAGCTTTTTCTACCACATTATCTCTGTTTTTACAGTCTTTCCTTCCCTCAAGCATTATTTAGTAACCTGGGGTGCCTATACATGTTCTCAGGGTGCGGGCATTTTAATTAGAGCAGCTCTTGGGAGCTCTTGGGAAATGTATGTGTACTGAGTCTGTGGGTATTGTCTATTGATTTTTGTCTAACTTTTGGCGTGTATAGTGTATAGGTGCTTGATTTGGTGATAGGTGTGCATGTGTCTAGGCTGGTAATTTGGGATATCTACGTGCCTGAGCTGGTTGTATGTGTGTGTGCATGCCCGATGGGGCTATATGCACCTAGAGTGTGTGTGTGCGCCTAATTTATGTGTTTGTGTGCATGTGCGTGCACACACAATTATACATCATGCTTCCTGTCTAACAGTGCAATATTGAGATCCTGAGCATTGGCCTGACCCCACAGGGCAACAAATGCCTCCTATGAGATGCTGTGTACCCAGTACCGTAATGCTGTATTTTTTGAAGGAATTTGGTCTGGGGCCAATGTTGCTTGATATTAATTGCTTGAATGTGGGAATGGAATATATTTATCATATTTGTAGATGGGACACAATTGGAAAGGGTTGCCAGTTTATTGTAGAATAGCATACATTTAAAGGATAAATTAGAGACATGAACTTAGATCAGGGCTGCCCCACTTCTAAGAGGACAGGAGTAGCATGCCCCCTGGGCTATGTGCTATGTGTGCTGCTTGCCATGTAGCAGACGCTCCTCAGCAATGTGGTGGCCCTGTGCACTGCAAGCCATGCCATTCCACCCTAACCATGCTACATGGCAAGGGTCCCCCTGTCACAGGCCAACTGGGCACTGTGAGTGTATCAATTTGGTTGTGGGCTGACTGAGCACTGCAAATGTATCAGCCACTGGGCTGTTTGGTTCGGGATTGAGGAGGTGCAGTTGGGAGTGAGCAAAGACAAGTTTCACTTGTAACAGTAAAGATAAATTTTACTTATAGCAGCAAAATAGCAGCAAAAATATGTTTTAGCAGCAAAATATGATTTACACATATAACAGTTAACAGAAAGGTTAAATTAATAAACAGATAATACAACAATAAGAGTTAAGAGTTGGCAGTGATAGTAACAACAGACAGACAAATTGACAAAGAGTTCCCACTTGGCTGGCAATTTATCGATAGTCCCTCAGTGCCAAGTACACACCAAGTTGATCCAGCGAAGTCAGGCGTCCCCGATTGATGCTGTCATCGGGAGCACCAGGGAAGATCCCTTAGTCAAGATCTGGTCCTTGCTTACACTGGGAGTCTGGAGTCCGGGCTTGGAACAGCAATGACTGTTCTGTTCCATCCTTCCTACTGGTCACCTGACGTGTGTATTCTTTTATATCTTGCCCTATGCTAATCTGTTGGCTTCAGAGCCACTCACAATCTTACTCTGCAGCTGTTACCCTATGGGATTAAAAGGTGTTAGAAATTATCATAATAGGCTACTGCCTAAACTTGGGTTTACCCAATAAGCAAATCACACCACATCACTTTGGGGTCTGAGATTAGCATTTACTCTGCCTAAATTCAACCCACTTGCTTACTTCCTTTTTGGAATTTTTTGAGAGTGTGTTAATTATACCTTGTGGTCAGGTTTGTCATTTTGACTGACCTTTAAGCAAGAACCGTTAGGTCAGCTAAAGTTTGCAGTTCTGTTTTCTGGTTCTGCTTCTTGGGGCCTGGTCTAGTTTTATGATTGGTACAGACAGTTAATTTTAACATTGCGGTTATACTTGTGACAGACAGGGTACATTTTGCGGGTTACAATCTTGCAAGCTTTGCCTTAGCTAGTATTAACTGTCATGCCAATTGTCAGATGCTTCCAAGAAGCAGACATTATTTGTTATAATTTGCTCATTGACCCCTTTGGTTCTGGCTGTCACATCCCCCCTATCCTACACAGTGCCAGCATCTGTGTCCTGCATGCTGTGCCATGTGCCCCCCTGCAACACTCCATGGTGGACTTCCCTCCCTCCCTGTGTTCCACTGTATCGTGCTGGGATTCCTGGGTCCCCCTGCTGCCACCTGCAGATTCTTTAGGCCCAATGAACAATGTTATCCAGGCCTACCCCCAGGGTTGGGGAGAGACTGTGCAAGCAGGAAGAGAGTGCAGGAGCCTGGAAATAGTGGCAGCAACACTGAAATGGTGGGAGGAGTAGTACCCAGACCATTTCAGGGGGCCACAAGTTAACTCCTTAAGAGCTGCATGTGGCTTTTGGCTTGCCAGTTGGGCAGCCCTGGGCTTAAACAACAAAATGAAATTCAACAAAGGCAGATGTAAGGGAATACACTGAGGAAAGAAAAACCAAATGATCTAATACAGAACAGCAATAACTAGCTCACTATAGCTTTGCTAAGAAGGATCCTGGGGATGTAAAAGATCATATGTTCAACATGAGTCAGTAATAATGTAATGATGTTGTAAGAAAAGGAAATGCAGTTTTGGGTTGAATGGTATGCAAGATGTGGGAACTGACAGTACCATTCTACTCAGCATAGACCTCAGGTGGAGTACTGTGCCCAGTTTGGGACACTAAATTTTATAGAGGTTGTAAAAAAATCTGGACAAGATCCAGAGACAAATGTGAACAATGATAAAGGGGCTGGACCGTAAGCTGTACAAGGTTGAAAGAGCTATGTATGTTACTTGGAGAAAAAGAAAGGGGGAAATGACAACAATCTTCAAATATCTTATATAAGGAAGAAAAAGTACAATTGTTCCTCCTTATTATAGAGGGAAAAACTAGAGACAATGGGTTTAAGCTACAGCAAGTCAGTTTTCAGTTAAAATCTCAGGGGGAAAAAATCTTAATTGTAAATATGGTAGGGAACAAGGGAAGTCATGGAATCTTGTTCATTGTAGGCTTTCAAGAAGCTAGATAAATCAACCTAGACGGACATCTAGGAACAACAAATGTTACATCTGTGGCTGGACTAGATGAACCTTGAGCCCCTTCTTATCCTATGATTCTACAGGAAAATTAATTACTCTGCACTTAAAACCACACACCTCTCATGGACTTTCCTTACTGATTCACTGTCTGAGAGAGAGGACAGATGTTTTTTTTTTCCCTTTCTGCAACCCATTTATATCAGAACACGTGACTGGCAACAGTGGCTCATCTGGTGGAAGGACAGCTGCTGTAAGACTTGGAGACTTTTCAAGACACTCTCAGGATGGATCCAAGGCATGGAATGTATTTTGCAATGGCCATTCTAGTAAATAAGAAATAGAACCAATCAGTTCACTCTGTCTAAATAAAACTGCCAGTATAAAAATCTGCTCACCATAAATAGTGTATTTATTGAGAAGTTCAGACACATACTGCAGATATTAAAAATTACTGGGTATAAGGGACAATGTTTTCCAGATTTCAGCTCTCTTGTGCACAATTGTCCTGTAAAACTGTTTTTAAAAAATGAAATATGATTGATTTATAGTGTTCTGCTGAGTCTGGGTTTAGTATTGACATTGCTTGGCAGATAAGAACATTAAAATGTAATTTTTCCACTGAAAGTAGCTATTAAAATGTTTTATCTGCTCAAAGTTTAAAATTGGGACAAAAATTAAACTTCTGGACATTTAAACAGCACCTTACAGAAGTACTATGTAATGAATTATTTTAATCTCTTCATAAGCAGCTGGTTTCCTCCTGGGTATCTATTTGCATAGTACTGTAATACATTGTACAGTAAACCATTCCTCCTATGTGATGCCTGGGATCCCTTTTCTGCATTAGCTGCTACCCCGCAACCCAAAAAGCTTTTCAGGAGAGGTGAAGCAATATTGTGTGGCCTTCCTCTCACTTGCCCTAGGATTGACCCTGGATGCTCCAGCTAATAAGAAATAGTCACTTGGCACCTGACCTGTGAAAGCCTGAAGAGTGAAGGGTAGACCCTAAACACAGGAAAGAAATTGACTCATTTACCAAACTACAGTTCTCACTGGCCTGATTAATTTAAGAAACTGTACTCTTTGGAAGATTGACAAATGTGTTCATCTTCCAAGGACATATTTCAAAGCAAAACACCATAAAACTTGGTTTTAGCTGGGAAAGGTCTCTACCTTTTATCTATGATCAATGAATACAGTTCATCCCCCCGCCCCATAAATGTCTCTAGCTCCCATCTGCACAGTAATTTGTTCTGAGTACAAACTGCACTGACATTTATAAGACATTCAGAACAGGATTTCTTTCTCTTTTTTTCTTTTCTTTTTGGTTTTATGCACTTTTGCAGTGGTAATATGAGCAGGTGAAGCAGAGTTCATGCACTAGCAAGCAAAAGCATTTCAATGAATCCATGAAAGTTTTATCAGGGAAATAGTTAGCATCTGGTTTTCTTGATATATTAATTCTATCTGAAAAGAGCCAACTTACCTGAATTTAGGATGAGTAACGGCATAATGATGGGATTGTGAATGGCAGAAGCTTTGGCAATCACAGCTGGTATGGAGTTCATGTAGGGTGTCAGGACATGGGAATATATAGAGTAATACAAATTAATTTTTTAGTAACTTATTCTGCATAATCTATGCACTGTTGCACACAGTTTGGTACATGTTCAGGGACTGTACTACATGGCTGCCACCCAAGAGAGGAAAGTACAGTAAGGAGGTAGGATTAATCTACCAGTGGGAAAGGTTCCATTCTGTGCTTGTAAGGGTTGGTTTTATCTCTCTCAGATTCATTTTATCTCTCTGAACACAAGTTCAGCCCAGGCTTATAGCTCTAAAATCATGGAGCCCACTTCCATCAACCAAGCTACCATCAGGTTTTTTTTTATTGACTAGGAACTCCCTTTTCTGAGTAGCAGGAGGAATTCTAAATTGCCCCTTAGGGCACAAACAGAAATGATAGTTTTTGCCTGATCTGGCCATAGAAAGTGGCTTATTGCTGTTGCCCTGAGGGGTCAGGCCAATGCTCAGGATCTCAATATTGCGCTGTTAAACAGGACTGTGTGGTGTACAATTGCACATGCACACATAAAAATCAATTAAGCACACATACACTCACTAGGTGCATACACCCCTACTAGGCATACACACTTACACTAGCAGCTCAGATACACAAACGTTCAAAATAATTAGTCTAGGTTCATGCACACCTATCACCAGTTTAAGCCCATACATGCTACACACACCAAATTTAGAGAGAATCAGTTACTAGTTACCAACACCCGCACATCCCATACACATACGTGGATTACTAATTCATATACCACACGCACAATTATATATATATATATATATATGTGTGTGTGTGTATTCACTAATTCACACACATACCACCCACCTACACATACACACAGGTGAGTTCCTAAGTTGGGTGTTGTGATGTGTATGTATGTATATGCTTGGTGTACTTGGGATACCTGGGAAAAGGTTAAGGTAAGAAAGTCAAAGTGTAAGGATTTAAAGTTACCAGGACTGGGATTAGAACCATTAAACTGCAGGGGCCTGGGCTGAAGAACTGAGGCTTGGGGGTAACTTTAGGTTAATTGATCTTAATTGATTAAAAGACAATGCCCAAAGCCTGCAGAACAGGGAAGCATGCCGGCACAGAGTCTGGGACTGGAGCCAAAGCTACGGGGGAGCTGAAAAGGTAGCTGCTGGAGAGGGAAAGTGGGACTAAGGGAAAGTGTGGGTGTTAAAGAGGGGCTCTGGGTGTAGGGGAGCCAGAAAAGTCTGGGAAGCTGCAGGGGTGGGGAGCCTGAAACCAGAGACACGGGTGGGGGGGGAGAGCCTGAAACCAGAGAGATGGACAGTAGAAAATCACAGAAAAAGCAGCAGGAGAGACTGAAAGGCAGCAGGGGCAGCAGGAAAGCTGAGAAAGGCAGCAGAAAGTCACAGGGAAAAGCCTGTAGGAATTGAGAGGAGATCGGGAAACTAGTGGAGAGAGGTGGGGGCTGGAATTGAGAGAGAGAGAGAGAGAGAGAGAGAATGAGGCTGGAATTTAAGATAAGGAAGGAACTGGGATTCAGTAAAACATGACCCAACTCAGGGTTGCAAATGACAGTGGTTTTATTGAACAGGGGAGATGGTGACACAATGCCAAATTCATTCCCTTGCACCCACCCACACAAAATGGCAGCAGGGGTTAGAGAGGCTTGGTGCCAGGGCTGAAGTCCACTGAAGTCCAGGAGGAAAGAGGCAAAGAGAGAAAGAGAGAGTCCAAATTGTAGGAGGAGGTGTGCAGGTAATATCTACCTATCCCAAGCTGGAAGTTGATCCTCGATGGCCAGTCGGGGTCTCCTTCAGCTTGGTGTTGTCCAGAGGGGTCACCGGCAGGGCCTCTGGGGTGGATAGGTGACATGAAGCTGGTCTGGTCCAGATGGAAATGGCGTTCCCACTGGGTCTATCTTCACTGCCCCTTTTTACTGGGGCAGACCTTGTGTAACCCTAGTGACAGGAGGCATGCCCAGGAAAGGGTCAGCCCCCGGTGTACTGAGCATGTGTGCTCCATGCAGGGATGTGCAGTTTCTGGTGTCTGTAATGGTGAGAGTTGCTGGTTTTGCAGGGTCCTTTGTCTTTCAAATGCTGGTCTTGTCTCTGTTCCTGGGTGAGGTCCGTGGTTCCTGGGTGAATCAATGCGAGGTGATGGCCCAGTCATTACAGGCCATTCAATAGAGGCCTGCTACCATTGTATTTCAATCATTCCCAATCACACACATTCATCGGGGAACCGATTTACATGGGAGGGGTACGTGACTCATACAGTTGCAACATGGGATGCCCAGGCAGAAAACAGAAGATGGAGACTTGACATATAAAATGGAAACTTGACATGACTTTGGTTCACTTACAAACACAGGCCTAAACCATACAATATCCATATGAAACAATAAAAATCAGTATGAAAATGATAATAATACAATATACAACAGTAAAAATCAATACAAACTTAATAATAATACAATATAAAACGGTGTATATCCAAAACCAAAAACTTGCTACCAAAATAAAAATATTTCAAGCTTATCCTACCTCTTAGCTTATTTATACTTATCTACAGAGAAAAGAGAGGGAGAGAAAAAGTCAGAAATGATTGGGGAAAGGGAGGGAATGCATTTTAAAATAAAAAAAAAAAAAAAAGAAACTGGGGTTTTGCTACATTGCCATGACTAAACAGAAGTGCACAGTTACAGACCACTTAAATGACAGATTGGGCAAAAGTGTGAATCCTCATTACATGAGGGGCCGGATGAATATGTTTCAAAACAGAGCTTCTGTAACTTGTGTCTGTGCTGTCTCCCAGCCTCAAGCTGTTTTCAGAATGGGAGGGAGGGAAAGGGAGCAGAGGAAGTTCTGTCTGGGGTTTTTTCAGCCCCTACTGGAGGATGGGGGAAGGCTCCCACTGAGGTGGCAGGGCTCCAATACACCCACCGCACCCTCCAGTGCTGCCTGGGGAACCACTAGAATGAGATCCCTCTTCTCCCTTTCCCTCCTCCCATTCTGAAAAACAGACTGGTTGGGAGACAGGAGGGTCTGCTGCTAAGGGAAACCAGCTGCAGGCTAGCAGCTAGATTCCCCTTCCCCGTGGACCCAACAATGAACTGCTGTTTGGTCTGGGGTAACACTGTAATTCAGAATGCTTCCTGCAAAATGTTCTCAGTTACAGTGGGGGAGCTGCACTTCTGTTTGAACCCTTAGGATCTCTAGTAAGAACCTCTTTTCCCAAAGATAACATCCTTTCCTCAGACATAGTCCTTGCTGAAAGAGCAATTATCAGCTATTATCTATATCAGCTACTATTAGCCCCAGTGCAATGCTTCCAGTTTTATCTAGCCCTCATTAACCTATTTCTTGCTCTCAGGTGCTTAGGTCTATAACCCTTCCTCCCACCTCCCTCATGCACTGACTTTTTTCATTTTTGTGGCAGCACAAAATGCCCCTTCTCTTCCATGGAAAGTTTCCTATGATATTATGTAGTGGCCTAACATGATACTGCACCAAGCAATCATCCCTTTTAGTGGAACTTTTTGTTACATTTATCAAACACAGTTTATGGTCTCTGACCAAATGGGAACAGGCCCCTTGAAGATATCAGTGGAGTTTCTTCATGGATTGCTTCATGCATGACCACAAACATTCCTTCTCAAAACTAACCTAAGACTTCTCTGTTAGCAGTTTTCAGTTCATAGTATCCTGCTCACCAGTTCACCCTTATCCTTCTTTTGAGACAGAGCTCCCAACTCTACCCTGATATCATTGGTCTGGAGCAGGGCTATCCAACTTGCAGCCCATGAGCCATATGCAGCCCACAAGATGAATTCATGGCTCCCAGGCTCCTGATTCAGGTACTGCTCCCTCAATGCTCTCTTGTTGCTGCTGCTGGGGTCTCTGTGCTCCCCATCTTCCCTCCTCTCCCCAATTCAACTTTTGCTGCCTGCTTCTACCCCTGGGAACAGGGTGGGGTAGCCTGTATGGCCCAGGAAGGCTATGTTTTGGGAAGAATAGGGCACCCATGTAGAGCTTCACAGTGCAGTGGGGAGGCACGTGTAGTGCATTGAGGAAGGAGTCCAGGCCACAGGGGATGCCTAGCCCATGCAGCTTGTGCCTCTGGCTGCTCAGAAGTTAGACAGCCTTGGTCTGGAGGATAAATTCCCTGGAAATATTTGGAGAACATTGTTATGGGTGATGCAAAATGTTCTGGTTGGGGCTGAAAAATTGTCTCACATTTTAAGCTCCTAGAAACCTATTTATTGGGGGAGGGCAGGAGGAGGTTGTCAATGTTTTGGTGAAAAGTGTAGTTAATGAGGCAAATGATGACATAAGTCTTCCATTTATGGTGGCTGTAGGGCAACATCATCACTGAGCATGTACTATGTCAACTTAATCTTCCCCAGCCAAAGAGATATTAGTAGTTACTCTTTCCTGTTGCACATTTTGTTGGTCTTTCAGGCTCTCTGGCCTCATAGATTCCAACACTTTCCCCACAAGGCATAGATTAGGAGACAATGTATCTAGTTAAACAGTGGTATGTTCTGAACCTCAGGACTTAGTCTGTTTATCTTTTTAAAGGCACAGTAGGTTCCATAAGAAGCAAAAATGCACAGCCCAAAATAAGAAAAAAAAGCATAGGAAAAGACAAAATTACTTTTCTTTCCAGCTTTCTTCATTTGTAAATATTCACGTCAACTTCTGGAGGCTCATAAATTAGGCCATGTCCTATTTTTGAGAGCTTATGATTATAAGGTATAGCGTAAGAGTGAAGTCTAGCAAATACTTGTGGTTCCTAAGGACAATTTTGAATCACACAGATCTATCCAACCTCTGGCCCCATGCTACTTGGTTTTACCACTTAGTTTTTCAAGACATCTCCTTGACTTTCATAGAGGCATCTTCTATCTTCCTTTGTCTACCTTGATTTTCTACCCTAAATATCCAGTCCGCTTTGGTTTCTCTGGGCATGTCTACAAGAGATGTTTACACAAGTTGCTTAATTAGCCCCATAATAAAAGTCTCAGTGTCTACATATGCAGTGCTATTAGGATGGAGTAAACTAATTAACTCCTTCATAGAGTAGCATTTGTAAACACAAGTACTAACCTATGGTAGAGTTTTTTACTCTGCAGCACCACATGTGTAGATGCTGGCAGGGCTGGCTGGGGCATGAGGGTGCCTAGCAGCAAGCCCCATGCCCCACCCAGCTCCTCCACAGCATGTTGAGCTGGGTCAGAGCAGCCCCAGGCTGGCAGATTGACCCCCTGGGCTGCCTGCTAGGTGGACTGCTCTGACTCATATGAATGAGCTTTGGTCATATGAATGTGCTGTGCATGAATATACATGATGCCTGGGAGCAATAAGCTCTGGTGCAATATGCACCAGAGTTTATTGCTACACATTAATTGCATGTGTAGACAGGCCCTGTGTGATGGAAGACAAGGTTGCACCAGTCTGACTTTACTAAAATCATCATGGAAAATTAAATGATTAAGAGGAGAATCTGCTTCCTTTGTGGAGAGGATTTAAATTCTTATCTGATTGACCCCCTCCTTAGATAGAATGAACACCTCACAGCCAGCTTGTTCCTTTCTAATGGAAAGGTTTTAGAGTGCTTCCAGTTAGTTGCTTTCTGCTTCTTAGAGCTTGTAATAACCTCTTCCTTACTTTTAAGATATATAGAAGCATTTCAATAGTTTTTCACTTAAGAATTTTAGTTTGCTTTACAAACAATAATAATCTAAGCCTTCCTGAATGTAGATAACTTTGTTATATTCATTTTAGAAATGGGTAAGGTGAGACGAAAGTAAGGTTAAATGACTTAGTGACTATCACATATTAAATCAGAAAGAGCAGCAAGATAGAACCTAAAACTCCTAATGCCTGATCTCATACACATAACTAGGTTGAATACCAATATGTATATACTTATTATGCCTTTAGTCTGAAACATAGAATATCAAATGCTGATAGATTAATAGGTGGAAGAAGTGCAATATTGTTTATATTTAAAATTCCAGTACTCATAGTTACCTTTATGTGCATCACTAAAAGATTTGAATCAAGAAACTTAACACAGAGAGCCTGATTTTGATTTCACTTCTACTGTTGGAAATCAGAAGTAATTCCATCTAAACCAATGGATTTACACTAGTATGAAACTGAGTGTGACAGAAGAACTGGGAACACAGTATACCTTTTCAGCCCCAGGTAACCATATGGATATGTTCAAATACACTTGCGTAGGGAATCTGAATCTTAAAATTCGTTAGCATGATTTCATGCATTGCCAATAATTAGGTTTCTTGTTTTAAAAAATCAAATTGAGAGAAAAAATGCAGTTAGCATATCTGCATTTGTCACATCACCCCTGAATGTGTGAACATTTGCCATTAACTTCAAGCATGAGAGATGACAGCTACTTTGAGTTTCATCATTTGCTTCTCTTACAGTTTCACACCTTCTGGTTTCACTGAATTTTTTCTTGCTGACATATTCAGAATTACCCAGCAAAAGCTACCAGAGCTACAACAGAATATGTTGACCAGGAAATGATGTAAAGCAAGATGACAATCAAGGCAACTTTGGCCATCTTCCATTCATTCTTCATCCTCTGCTATTGCCTCTGGGATTCTTTATTATCACCTGAAACATCCTAGGGTGAAAAAAGCATTATTGCAACAGACACAACAACAAAAACTCTAGGGAGAGGAGGATTAAATAAATGTCTTCGCAAAATGGGACAGACGACTGGCCCCTAACCAGGTAATGCTAAAATGACCCCCAGACCATATATCGTTCTGTACAACTGCTCTGAAATTGAGGCTCTGTCCTGCACATGCTAATCAATGGCAAGATCCCCTTTGACTTCAGCATGAGCAAGACAGAGTCCAGTGTCAATGTTATCTTTCCAGAATAAGGCTCTTGATTATTCAGATACCTTTATTAATCTATACATGGTCCCTTTGGGTAAATCAGAGATGTGGGGTGGAAACATTTCTGGAAAATTTTCCAGTGCTTTATTTTTCTGTGTGAAATTTTCCATTTCTAAATATTCATTGTTTCATAAAATTCTTTAGTAACAAGGAATGGATGCCAAAACAATATTAGGTAAGCTTGGCAGTTTCAAAGTTGTAATTGTTTTTCAGGTGATTATCCCTAGGAAGTGTGAGAGAGAGTACATATATGTTTTATTGGTTTGTAACAGGAGGGTAAATACACTCGCATAATAATCCAAACCAAAAATCAAGTTATGAATTCACCTAATTGGCTGTGCGGGTCAAATAAAATCCAAAGTTAAAATTCTTATTTCATCTCAGACTGGAAGCGAAAGCAAAACCAAAACTAAAACTGTGCTTAATTTTTGTTTCACTTTGAGTTCAGCAAATACACAGAGCAGTGTCTCATTTATTTCCTTGAGTTGGGAAAGCTGGAAGTATTTGCATAAAATCTGTTAGTTTTTTAGTACGTTTGGTTTGAAGTAGTCATCATAATGCCTAATCAGAAAAAAACTAGTGTGGGGCATCATTATAGTGAAGTGCAAGCCACTGAAGGAAGGAAGAAAGTTGGTAGATGTAAATATTGTGCCCAGGAGTATGCTAACAACACAACAAGAATGAAGAAACATTTATAACATGTAGAAACTGTCCTGAAAGAGTACAAGCCATATACAGAAAGCTATTACAACCAAGTGGTGAAACAAAATCATCTGAATAAAGTCTACTTTAGGAACCCTATGCAAGTAAACAAATTAATATGTTAAACAACACACAGTATAGACTAGTATCTGTATTGTTTTAAAACATTATAATTTTAAAAGTTGTTAATACAACTCTGGACTATTATTTATTTATTTAAAATATTTGTATCCTGCTTTTCTGCTTGCACTAAGCACCCAAAGTGGCTTAGGCTTAACAATATGTATTTTTTAATTACATAGTAGATAAATAGTTAACTATTTCAGCCCAGCAGAGTGAGCCGAGTCCTTTGACTCTGCTGTGCCAGAGCAACTGAGCAGCAGAGTATTATTTCTGGCAGGGAGGGGGGAAGCAAGCTGCCTGCCGCTTCTCCTTCTGATGGATAAGGCCAGACTAGAATAGGTTAAAATAAAAACCTTTCTCCCCTTTTGTTGCAGGAACTTAGTAGCTCAAGTGAAATAGCAGATTTGCAAAAAATGGAAAATGAAAATGTTGAGCTGCCAGGTCTGGGAGAAGAAGAAGCAGGATCCTCACTTTCAAGATCATTGTCACCAGATATGTGATCCATCATGAGCAGCTGTTCAAGACAGTCAAGCTTTTTATCAAGCTTTGAGGACAAAATGTCAAAAGAAAATCATGAAAAAGCAGATGAGACTTTAGCTTGAGCTATATTTGCAAGTGGTACACCTCTTTCCATAACTGAAAATCAATACTGGAAGGAGCATTACATACTAATTCGCCCATCATATAAGTTACCATCACATTATCGCTTATCACATTCTCTCTTAGATAGAGAGTATGGCAGAGTTCAAACAATGGTTATTCAAAGGACTGGTCAAGCAGAATCACTGACTCCAATGCCAGATGGATGGACTGATATACAAGGAAATTCTTTATTAAACATCATGTTAGCAACACCTGAACCAATATTCCTGAAAGCAATCACTACCACATCGTCTTGTCATACAAGTGAATACATATCCAAATTACTGAGTGAAGAGATTGAAAGTGCAGGTCCATCCAGGGTACAAGCCCTTGTAACTGATAATGCAAGTAGCTTGAAAGCTGCGTGGCAAGTATTAAAGGCATAGTATCCTCATTTAATAATATTTGGCTGTCTTGCTCATGGGTTGAATCTTCTGGCAAGGGACAAAGTAAGTGTGAATACAATGCAGACAATATTAACAAACTGCAAAGTGATTGTGAAGGTATTCAACAATCATCATGTTGCTAATCAGACTTTGAAGAAATTACAGAAAGAGAAGCAGGGGAAGGAAAGTGCACTTTTATTGCCAGAAGAAACTAGATGGGGCTCAGTCACAAAGTGTTTACATAGTTTGCTGTGCACAAAGAACTATTTGCAACGTGCTTCAATAGATGACACAGTATCCCAGATTATTCCTGTGAACTTTCAGAAGCAGATTCTCAACAACGATGTGTTCTGGGTTCGAGTTCAAGGAGTATTCAATTTGCTACTACCAGTTTCAGTGGCTATTAAGAAACTTGAAGGAGATACACCGAGCCTTTCAAATATTTCAGAGATATTCAGACAACTGAATGAAAAATTTAATTGAGCTTTTGTCACCTTCACCTCTATCCCAAAAAGAAGTAAAACAAATGTTTACTAAGAGATCTGAGTTTTGCTGTCATCCAGTTCATCTGACAGCAAATCTTTTGGATCCTCAAAACAGAGGACAACATTTATCAGAAGATGAATTATCTATTGCTCTTGATACAATCATGGAAGTAGCTAAGAATGTCCCCAACATCAATGAAATAGCCATGATGACAGACATTGCTGAGTATTGCACAAAAAAACTTTGGAGCAAAGACATCTTTTGGCGGGCAGCAGAGAATATGTCTCCTCTCACGTGCTGGAAGGGATACTGTAACACCTGACTGTTGTCCAGGATTGCTTTAAGAATCCTAGGCATTCCACCAACAGCAGCTTCTTGTGAATGGAGCTGGAAGGCTTTCAGCTCAATCAAGACAAAAAAGAGGAATAGACTAACAAATGAACACACCACTAAACTTGTTTCTGTTTTTCAAAATCTCTTGCTTCTGGAGAATCAGTCAGAAGCACAATTAGTGAAGACGATGCAGTGTGATGATAAGTTGCCCTTGCCCAGAGACTCATTGGTAAAACCCATCTTTTAGCAAAAGAGAATATGATTCAAGTAGTTGTGAATCAGATTTGCCTCAATCTGATTCTGAAATGGAACTAATAAATAGTGCAACTAATTCTACAGATAGTGACAGTGAAACTGGAGGTACCGCTATGACCTCAGTGGAAGAAAGTTAAACTCTGTTGAAGTAGATGAATAGACAACCATGGCATATCATGCACAGTAGGGCTGTGTGAAGCTTATGTCACCAATTTGATTCAGAGGAGATTTGGCTTGATTCAGTGGCCAAATCTCTTAATCCAAATTGAATCAGTAGACCCATTAAAAGGTCCAAATCGAATCCAAAGCCTCCAAATCAATTCAGAGAGATTTAGAGATTTGGATCAGCCAGGGAGAGGCAGTCAGAGCTGGGTGGCTGCAGGTTCTCCTCCGGCTCCTCTGGTTGTGCCTGCCTCTCCCCATGTGGGGTAGCCGGAGGAGAAACCCCCATGGCTGCCCTGCCTAGCCCCAGCCTCCCGGCACTTAAAAAAAGAAAAAGAAAAAAAAAGCTCTCCATTCACCAGCTGCAGCAGCAGCAATGACTGGGGCCTCTGAGGGCTCATGGCAGAGCTCCCCCCCACCCCCCCAATGCAGCGCATAGCAGTGGGGGGCAGCGGGAATCAGCCCCCACTTGGCACTGGCGCAGCAGCTGTCACATCGCGCAGGTACAGCGTGGCTCAGCAGGGCACCACACACTGTCTGGGAGCTGGGGCAGCTCCACCTGTCAGCCAGAGCCTAGCACTGCTTAGCCCTAGTGGCCCCAGCTCCCACACAGTGCGGGGCACCCTGCCAGGCGTGGGGGGGGGCAATCCCCACTGCCCTCTGTTGCCCCCCACTGCATGGGGGGACTTTGCCATGAACCCTCAGAGGCCCCGATTGCTGCTGCTGCATCCAGTAAGTTTGGGGCTTTTTTTTTTTCAAGTGCCAGGAGGCAGGGGCCAGGCAGGGCAGCCATGGGGGCTTCTTCTGAGGCTCCCCCTGCCCAGGGAGAGGCAGACACAGCTAGAGGAGCCACAGGAGAACCTGCAGCTGCTCAGCTGTGTGTGCCTCTCCCCAGCAGATCCAAATCTCTGAATTGGTGCTGAATCTCCGATTCTGATTTGACTGAATCAAATAGGGATGGTGATTTGAATCACAAAATCGAATCACTGTCCTCCAAATTGGCCAAATCCAAATTTAATACTTCCTTATTTGCACAGGCCTAATGCACAGTTCTTTGGGTGTGCTAAAATTAGTGTGTCAACAGTTTTCAGTGCCTTTATTTTTTGTCCTTAAATTTAAACAAACAATGTAAGGGAAGTACATGCTATTGTATATTGTCTTTACATTTTTACAAATATTCCAATAAAAATAATTTATTTCCACATAAAGCTTTGGATTTGTTTGAATATAACATTTAAACCACATTAAGTGCGCTGTATTTAATTTTTTTCCTAATCAAATATTTCAGTTCAAATACTTGTGACTATTAGGACATAAAGTTAACACGGGGGTGCTTTTTTAGTTTTGTTTACCAGATCTAAGTCAAATAAACATGCTAAATCAGATCAGACTCTATTTAGGGCACTGGAAAATTTTCCAGAAAACCCACATCTCTGGGGTAAATAGGAAAAAAATGTGGTTATTTTCTAGGATCAGATTTTTTTTCTTACTACCACTCTATAGTTCGTAGCTCATATGTAGATAGATACATTGATTTCAATAGTAAATAGTAATTTTGCTACTCCATAGAACTTAAAGTGGCAATATTTGGCCCTTAATTTGCAATTTCTGTAGTTTTTGTTTAATAAATTCCTGCCTTGTTTCACCTCCTCATTATTTTGTGTTGAATACTAAATTCAGAGCTGACTTTCTCCTCCTTCTTGTAGATGACTAGTACCTTGCAGGTGAGCCCTTGAATCCACTTACTGACATGAGACTGACTGTATCTGTGCAGACCATCGGCCTGTCTAGATCAAGACACTGTGCAAGAGAGAATTCTGAACAGCTTTACTTCCCTTCTGCCTGGGAAATTTTCCACTGTTTCTCTTTGTATTTTTTTAAAGCTACTTTGCATAAGTCTAATGCCTATGCAGAGGAGTAAAAACAATACCCCCGCCCCCAACATCTGGTCCTGATTGGCATTGAGTCAAACAATTCATTAGCTGTATCAGGTGCCTCTGAAATTCTGTCTTTTCTAGTCTTGATTCATCTACTATTGCTATTCACAGCCTTTTAAAAATTGCTAGTAAATATTGTAAACAATGCTGAAGCTAGTAGAGAACTTTGGAAACTTCTTTCAGCATTCACCTTTTTTGCCATGCTAAAATTTAACTGGAAACTTTTGCTTTTGTGTTTCAGTCTTTTATATAAGATAAAAGAATATTTTTTAAATTTATACTTTTATGGGTTTTTGGTTAAATATAAAATCCAATGTGTTCCCTAAAGAAGGAATGGAACTTGAATATTGGTGACTCACTTGTTGGCGTTCCTGACAGCCCTGAAAATAAAGATATAGCTGCATATGATAGCAGTCAGAGAAATAAAGAAGACAAAGCAGAACAGGAGCATTGTGTAGGCACGGACTGAAGTGGTAAAGGTCAGGAACATAACCACATTTAAAGAGAGGCAGAAGAAGAAATAAGCGACAAAGCAATTTTTACTAGGCACTATATGTATGTATGCATGTATGTATTTATTTATTATGCAATTTTGGTGCAGCAGCAAAAAGAGAAAGTATTAACAATATCTCTGGGATTTGAAAATAATCTAATCTGATTTTATTTGTTGAAGAAAGAGATTTGATAGGGACACCTTTTTTTTTTAACATCTCTTATAATTCCTGACTCCATTGGCCTTCATGGCCTTAGAATTCTAAAAATCTTAATTGTGTTATTTTAAAAGTTGATTCTTTGTTTATTTCAATCTCTGGGCTTGATCTAAAGCCCACACTAATTGGGGGCATTGTTCCAGTAACTTCAATGGGCTTTGGATCAGACTCACATTTTCCAATGTTTACTATTTCTCCAGTTATCTCTGAAATCTTCATTTCTTGGTAAGGAGTGAAATGAAACTGGCTACAATAACCACCACTTTTTTTATAAATTCTACAGGGAACAGAAATTTTCTGTGCAGATCAAGTTAATATTGTCATGAAGTAGATAATCAAATAAGTGGAATAGGAAACACATGCAACTTCTGCCTGAAATTAAGTCTCCTTGGAGAAAGCATGTCAAACTGCTAAAAAAATAAAGCAAACTGTCAATGCCAAATTATTTTTATTCTCATTACTTTAATTCCCAGCATTTTCAGTTATAGTTTCTGTTAGACCAGCTCTTGAAACTATTGTACCAGATGTGCTCAGATATATCCAATTATTGCATGAGGCTCAGTATTATGGATCCAATTAGAATCTAATTATAAAAGAGCAATTATAATACCCTTCAAGTAATTATTCTGCCTCATCATGTTAACTTTCATTCATCTAAGAGTATTTGTCATATTGCTCTCTTTAAAGCTTCTCATTTAAGCTTAGGTTGCTAACATTAAACAGCTGGAATTTGCCACCTATGCATCCTATTCAGTTAGGAAAAAAAAAAAATATCTGAGCTTGCTGCAGCAGCCTTGTGGGCAAATGAAAAAGTGCTATTTTCTCAGTTTAACCCACCTTTGCACACGACGACCATAGAGTGCTGTTACACAATTTGGTACCATGATAGCAGTGGGTTTGGGCCTTCTACTAATAGGTTGAAGTTCATGTTACCTAAGGTCTAAAGTAACTGAAAGATAGTGATTGTTGATTCAAATGAAATAAGTTAATGGTATTGGTTTGGTTTCTAACAGAGAAACACAAAACCTATTATTAATTCTATTTGTAAATTTTCAGTTTGCATGGATGCAAAATATATATGCTGTAATTTACATACACAAAATCAATGAAGTAACATTACTGCTAAACATCATCTTTAATGGTAGGCTCAGCTAGGAGCCAAATGGCTGAATGGGCAGAGGGGGTAAACTGTTTTTTCACCTCTACAACTGGTCTCTCCAGGCCAGGGTTGAGACATATTAAAAGACTATGAAATAACTTCTGGTTGCTCATACTGAACTCTTTTTAGATGTATATAGAGAGAGATGAACTGAGGTTACACAGGCTCTCAATATGGCAATTTTTATGGACACAAAGTAATTCTGAAAACTCATGTAGTATGTTCATCTCCCTTTTACTTTATATTCAGTTCTACATGACTGCAGAAGGTTATGAAATGTTATGTAAGCCTGTTTTGCATAATTTTTGCCCTTGATTTTATCTACTATTTTTTATTGAATGCGCTAATGAGATTTCTAGCAAAAGTGTCAGTGTAATGTAATTTACTGTGATACATGCTGTATAATTTTTTCTGCTGGTTAAACATCTTAAGTCTCATTAGCTGTAAGCAGTTTTCCTCAGAGTGATTTCTTCAAACTCTAGCTTGCATTTAAATACTGTTCATTCAGCCCTTCATCTAACCAACCCATTTCTTAATCTCTCATTTACTCATGGTATGAACCAAGCAAGCCATTATTCCCTTCCATTTACTCCATCCAAAGAAGGGTGGGAGGCTCCAAGCCAAAGAATACAGCCAGACTCCTACCAGGATTATCAGAGCCTTCTTCCTGGACACCACCCCAATGGAAGCCAGTGGTCTTGTGATCACAAAATATCTTTCCAGGGCAATCACCATCAATGTGATCATGGATGTAATGCCAAAGAGAGCACCACAGAAAGCATACAGCTCACAACCTTTCAAGTGGAGAGTACAAATACAGTAAATAGATTAAACCAGGGGTGTCAAAAACTGAGCCTGTGGGCCGGATCCGGCTTGTGGAACCCTATCTTCCAGCCTCCAGTGCTGCCAATGGGTCTTGAACTGGACCCACACACTGCATGTGGCATCCCGCATGCCATCTGCAGTGCACCCAAGCCCTGGCCCCTTCCCTCATGCTGCATGTGCTGTGTGGTTCACATCTATCCAACAAGCTGAAGGAGACAGGGGCACAGGTGGTCTTCCCATCTGTCCTTCCAGGGAGTGGACATGGATGACTCCATGAAACCTGCATCAGAGAGGTCAACTTGCGTCTTTGGGAATGGTGTCTTGAGGCGAGCTTCAGCTTCTTGGACCATGACCCATACTTCAAGATGAGATACATGCTTGGGTGGGATGGGCTTCACGTCTCTCCCAAAGGTAAGGCATGTTCTCTTTCAGGTTGGCTGACATCCTCTGGTGGGCTTTAAACTAGGCTCATTGGGGGAAGGGGAGGATGAGGTCGGAGGGAGCCTTGGAACACCAAACCAAGTGTCCCGCACAAGAACAGCCCAGCCAAGACTGACAACGAGCACAAGAAATATCCAGGTAAGAGACCTGGATAGTCCTGGGATTAGAGGAGTGGTGCATACACCTTCAGGAGGCCTCAAATGTCTATATGCTAATGCTCGTAGTATGGGGAACAAGCAGGAGGAATTTGCCCTCCTACTAGCTAACACAAACCCAGACATAGTGGAGCTCACCGAAACGTGGGGGGATCCAACACATGACTGGGTGGTGAACATCAAGGACTATAGGCTGTACAGGAGGGATAGAACAGGGAGGAAAGGCGGGGGTGTGGTGCTCTATGTCAAAGAACAATTCACTTCCTCAACAAGCAGCACTGGGTCAGAGGAGGGGCAGACTGAAGTGCTCTGGGTCAGAATACAAGGGGGTCGGGGGGAAAGGGACTTAACAGTAGGGGTCTACTACAGACCACCCAACCAGGGAGAAGAGCTAGACCAGGAATTCTCAGGTCAGCTTGCGGAGGCAGTTAAGTCAAAGGATGTGGTCATCATGGGTGACCTAAACCATCTGGACATTTGCTGGGAAGAGCAGTCAGCCAGGTCTGACCACTCACATAGGTTCCTAGCTGTGTTACAGGACCTCCGTCTAACCCAGGAGGTGCACAGTCCCACCAGGGAAATGCCTTGTTAGACCTGGTCCTGGCCACAAGTAATGACCTGGTGAGGGGACTGTGGGCGTTTGATCACCTGGGTGATAGCGATCATCGCCTATTGGAATTCACCATCCAGTGCAAGGTGGCAAAGGCCTGCAGCAAGACAGCAGCCCTGGACTTCAGGAGGGCAGATTTCATTGAGCTAAGGAGACTAGTCAGGGAGGCACTGAGGTCCCAGAGGAGTGGGGAGCTGGGAGTCCAAGAAGAGTGGTCGTTCCTGAAGGAGACGATCCTCCAAGCCCAAAGGGTGGCAATCCCAACACGGATCGAAGGGGGCAAGAGTGCTCAAAAGCCCCCATGGCTCACCAAAAGCATCCAGGAACATCTCAAAGCTAAGAAGGAGGCGTAAACCCAATGGAAGGGAGGAGTCCTCACTAAGGAGAAGTATACCTCCATTGCTTGGTATTGTAGGGGGACTGTTAGGAAGGCCAAGGTGGAGATGGAACTGGGACTAGCAACCTGGATCAAGGATAACAAGAAATCCTTTTTTGAATACATAGCAGATAAAAAGAAGGTTCTGGGTAACGTGGGGCCTCTGCAGGACACGCTTAGAAATCTGGTGGTCTCATCAGATGACAAAGCTAACCAATTTAACAATTTCTTTGCCTCCATTTTTCTGAGCAGGGACCGGGTCATCCCCCACACCGGGATCCCCGATGGTCCCAGGGGAGGCACAGCCAGGCCCAGGGTCAGAGAGGATCTAGTCAGGGAAATTCTGGTGGGACTGGATGTGTTCAAATCAGCAGGTCCTGATGATCTCCACCCCGGAGTGCTGAAGGATTAGCAGAGGTCATTGCAGGACCCCTGGCACAGCTTTACAAGCACTAGTGGTGCTCTGGCGAGGTGTCAGAGGACTGGAAAAGGGCCAATGTCATCCCCATTTTCAAAAAAGGGAGGAAGGAGGACCCAGGAAATTATAGGCCTGTTAGTCTTACCTCGGTCCTGGGGAAGCTCTTTGAGAAAATTATCCAGGTGCACATCTGCAAGGGGCAAGCAGGGGAGAGTATGCTTAGGGGCAACCAACATGGGTTCATTAGAGGCAGGTCCTGTCAGACCAACCTGGTGGCCTTCTATGACCAGGTCACAAAATCCTTGGATGCTAGTGTTGTGGTGGACATAGTCTTTCTGGACTTTAGGAAGGCCTTCGACACTGTCACCTCATTCTCATTAAAAAATTAGGAGATTGTAGTATCAATGCCTATACAGTCAGTTGGGTTGCCAATTGCCTGGAGGGCCGCACCCAGGGAGTGGTAGTGGATGGGCCATTTTCGACCTGGAGGGATGTGGGCAGTGGGGTCCCCCAGGGCTCAGTCCTTGGGCCCGCGCTGTTCAACATCTTTATCAGTGACTTGGACGAGGGGGTGAAAAGCACCTTGTTCAAATTCGCAGATGACACTAAGATGTGGAGAGAAGTAAGCATGCTAGAAGGGAGGGACAGACTGCAGTTGGATCTGGACAGATTACAGGGGTGGGTGGATGATAATAAGATGGGATTCAATACTGACAAGTGCAGGGTACTGCACCTAGGGAGAAGGAGCCAGCAGCGTACCTACAGGCTGGGAAACTCCCTTCTCATAAGCACAGAGGCAGAAAAGGATCTTGGAGTCATTATAGACTCCAAGATGAACATGGGCCGCCAATGTGGGGATGCATTCAGAAAGGCTAACCGCACCTTATCATGCATCCACAGATGCATCATGAGCAGGTCCAAGGAGGTGATCCTCCCCCTCTATATGACACTGGTCAGGCCACAGTTGGAGTGCTGCATCCAGTTCTGTGTGCCACACTTCAGGAGGAATGTGGACAACATCGAGAGGATCCAGAGGAGGTCCACTCACATGATCAGAGGGCAACAGGGCAGGCCCTATGAGTAGGGCCTGCCCTGTTGAAGCTACGGGACTTGAACCTGTTCAGCCTCCACAAGAGAAGGCTGTGAGGGGATCTGGTAGCCATCTATAAACTGGCCAAGGGAGACCAGCAGCCAATGGGAGAGTCCCTGTTCCCCCGAGCACTACTGGGAGTAACAAGGAATAACGGCCATAAGTTGATGGAGAGTAGATTCAGGCTAGATATCAGGAGGCACTACTTCACTCTCAGGGTGGGTAGGAACTGGAACCAACTTCCGAGGGAAGTGGTGCTCGCTCCTACCCTGGGGGTCTTCAAAAGAAGGCTAGATAGACACCTTGCTGGGGTCATTTGACCCCGGCATTCTTTGCTGCCTATGGCAGGGGGGCGGACTTGATGATCTGCTCAGGTCCCTTCTGACCCTACCAACTATGAAACATATAATTGTAGGAAGAGAAAAAATGGCCAGAGAGAAAGCATCTTTAGACCATGTGTTTGCTTAGACTTTTTAACAGATGGATACCATCAGATTGGCTGTTTGATCTGTTTTCATTTAACACAAAGTGAAATTCTGCCCCAAGTGCAGTCAATGTCAGTTTTTCCATTGACTTCAAGAGCACTAGGATTACACGGTGGGTATGTACAGACATTCAAGGATGTTAGATCCAGTTAAAAACGGCCGCCCAATCGACGTTAAATCAGGATTGTAGGGCTAGCAGCAGGGCTTGGAGGGACTGAAGGACAAGTGGAATTAGGGGACTTAGTGGGGTCTGCAGGGGCTCTCTTCTGCCCCCCTCCTCCCAGGGCAAAGGGCTATTCTTAGCTCTACAACTCCCCTCACCCCCAAATGAACAACCCCACCCAGTGAACATTCCCAGCCCCAAGATTGTGCTGGGAACTGTACAGAAGTTCAGTTAGATCAGTTTTACCAATCTCAAACTAAATTAGACTACCTCCAAGGTACAGTTTACTTAGATTGGGTCAGCCATTTTTAGTCCAATCTAACCTTTCTGAACTTCTGTGTGCAGTTCCCTAGTTGGGCCAATCTAAGTATAAGGTCTGTATCTGGGTGGATTAGATCAGATAGCCATTTTAAACATGATCTAATCTCCTCAAACATTTGTACCTAGCCTGGAAGTCTGAATCTTGATTTGTGTGGACAAGATGGAAGAGGGATCAAGAGGGTTGCATATTTGCTGGAGCCCCTGGAGAAGGAGGAGCCTGTGAGACAGAGGCAGTTTGACAAGGTTCAACAGGCCAGGGTTATAAATCACTAAACATTGAAAGGCAGCAGTTAAAATAAAGAATAACAGATGAGGACTGAAAGCAGTAGAACATAAAAGACCCTTGGTTATGTATTAAAAAAAAAAACCCAACAAAAAACGGAAAAGGATTTGTGCCCATCCTCACCTTAATCACTTTCCTTGATGACTTTCTTTATCCCCTTCAGTCTTGCCTCTGATTTTCCCAGTTTAGATTGCAACAGCTTTGGGGCAAAGGCTGTGTTTGTCTATGTTCTTTGTAAAGCATTTTAGGAAGTGCTGTCATACGAGTAATCAGAACTCTGGATTGACAAAGGATGTGTGGTCATTTAGCCCCAATCTGTTAAATAAATATAGTGTTCAATAACCACATGGAGAATGTTTTGGCAGTAGTGGTAAAATTTACCTGCATTCTCAGGATATTTAGCATCAGGAATAGCCAAATAAGAATTCCTTATGCAAAGTGCAGGTGCTGGGATAGTTTGCTCAGAACATATTCCCTTGGCTTTTTGTCAGTCTGCTTTTTATTCAGGTGTGAGATGATTGTGCAAGTACCTTCTTATATTTAACATTAAATGACACATTTCTTATTTTCCTATTTTGGCTTGGTGTAATTTTATCATTGAGCAATGGGAATATCTTTATTACATACAAAGAAAACTACATTAGAAGAGCTTTTTTAGGTTGCAAAGTCAAGCACTTGTAAACTAGGAAATACCCAATTAAAGTTGCCCATACCTGCAACCTATACACTGAATAAGGCCAGAGTCCTGTGAAAATCAGTATCATGTGATCATGCAATTAAAATACTATAATAATGCAGTTTCACAAGTAGCAGTAAACCTGTTTGAGTAGTGTTGGAGTGATGTTATAGCTATGATGGTCCAAGACATATGAGAGGTAAACATTTTTGTGGGTGTTAGCTCTTATTGGAACAACTGTATAGTTAGGGTAGACCAACCACACAGCTTGTCCAATAAATGCATTGAAATTTTTTTACTTTGTAACACTTGACCTAAATAGCTTTCCTTTGAAGTATTCTGGTATAATTTCCTAAGGTTTTTTTAAGAGATAAAAAATGAAAGACAAATTCTGTTATCTGCAACTAAACAACTAAAACCCCATCATCCACCAATCCAGAGCTCAAAAACCAAACTCAGAACATGGCTACTTTCACATCTAGATAATTTTGTCACTGAAGCATCAGTCAATACAAATTCAGACCTATACTTGTTCTAATACTTTCAGCAAATCTGGACTGAGCTCTGAATGCTCAACCAAACATGAACCAAAGCAAGTGTTTTGGGCATTAGTGGCTACAATTTTGCACAGCTCAAGTACATATCTTGTCAATTATTGACTTCTAGCCATTTTCATGGAAACAACTGTCAAAAGGAAAATGTACAAATCTTTCTCTCCAAAAATCCAGCGTTTCTTGAGACTGCTGTAGAAGAACACTGGAGACTGTGTGGTGGCCATGAGGAAGTCACTAATAGCTAAGTTGATGATGAATACATTGGCTGGAGTCCGAAGACATCTACTCCTACAGAGAAGAGAGCCAAAGGAACATTTCTAAACACTGGGTAATTATGTTATTGCTTTTTTCTGTGAGTCTTGACAGCTTCACAAATATCAAGATGTGGTATATGACAAACTACATTAACCCAGCTTCTGATTCTACTGAATAGGGAGGCTAAGTGAGACACCAGTTTAATTGCAGATTTTTTACACCCATTTATGCCTCAGTAGATGATATGGATTGGTTTTGATAACTAGCTTGGTGACAGATTTAAATGCATTGTTCATTGATTATACTGACCTGCTGCACCCCGTGTCTATGATTAACAGGAAACTGAACTTGATGTACTTTATGGATTTTTCTGGATCTGGGTCATGATGAGCTGGGAGTGCATCTTCCACTGCTGATGACATTAGGAATTACTTCCAAATATAGGGATTTAGCATACAGACTTTATACCACATCAAGCACTTTATTTTACATCAGTTCCTCTCCATGACAGATAGTTCACTGGACCAGACACTGACTTTGAAGGGACCCATTGCTAGCCAGGCTATGTCCCCTGCCTGCATAAATTATTCAGAACAACATGCTATAATAATAGCTTCTAGGTGTACACCGTATAGTATAATTGAGAATTCTGCATTTCAGTAGTTACTAATTCTTGATTCTTCTTGAAATTTTGGCACTTTAATATCTCTTCAATTGCTTTCTTGAAATTTCAGTCTAAGATACAACTGAACTAGAATATATGCTGCATCATGTGAGAGATGTAGCATGGAGGGTACAAGTTAAGACTATGGGAGCTGGGGGCAAGTATTCTTTCTGGCCTTAAGTGTAACTTGGACTGGACCCAAGGGCACACTGTAATCACTCCTCTCCAAACCACCACATACAGCTTATGCAATAGGAGTCTGGCTCCAAAGGTTCTGTTCCCGTAGGCAATCTGGCAGATGTCCCTCACTCCAACACAGGATCAACTATTTAACTATTGTCCTCTCATTGTAAATTTTTGGAGCACAAAAAGTTTGTAAACAGTCACTGAATAAACCTGTTATATTTGCTCATTGGTTTGTGAACAGATGCTGAATATTTTGCTGCCTTAGGGCATTGGCAAACAGCAAATTACTGTGAAGTCAGCAGG